CGATATATCGAAGCCGATATTGATATTTTTTAAAATATCGATGTATCGATATATCGATACTTTTTTCAACTTTCGACGTCCCTACTTCGGCGCCGTCATCTCGTTCTCGGTGACGTGACGGTGACGGCGGCGGTGGACAAACAGCCTAAGTGTTGATCTTTACTTGAGTACAGTTAGAAAGGGATGTCGCTATGTGCTTTATATAGCATTATCCCTTTCTGACTATACTCAAGACTAGATTAATTACTGAGAATCTTTCTATAATACGGAGTTTTGATGTTTTAGAGATGTTGAGGGGAGTCTTAGAAAAGAGGTTGCCTGATAGATGCTCTTGCTAAGGTATAAGTTATAGGATTGGTTGTTGTATGTACGATCTTTATTGTACATACTACGTGGTCTGTGTAGGAAGGAGTTCTACTTTCGACTGATAGATATTTTCTAAAACGTCTATTGTAATTTATATAGCATTTTCTTTTCATAATTATTGTTTAAGGAATTCCTACAAATTGTTTACGAGCAAAGTTACTTTGAGTATAATCTCGAGCTTCTCCGTGTTTCTGAAGATACTATAAACCGTGGGCCCCTGCTGCATCTACAGTCTTTAGTACCCACCAATCCACACTAGGCCCGCGTGATGGTCATAAGCCCTTTCTCTTTCTCCCTACTCTGTCCATAGGGAAGGCCTAAAGGCCTCCGCCAAGTAATGGGGACATTAATACGTTGACCGATGGTCGACATCATCCAACATTTCATGTTAATTATAGTGCCTATATATTTCTTATAACATAACGTAAGATAAATAAATAAATAAATAATTCCAACACACACCAATTAGCCTAGCCCCAAAGTAGGCACTGTAAGGCTTGTGTTATGGGATACTAGGGTAACGGATAGAATACATATACTGTACATATATAAGTATATATAGAAATACATATTATACATCCATGAGTGGAATACTAAGCTCGTATTCATCACACTAACACCTGCACCCACCGGGATTCGAACCCGGGACCTCTCGAGTCGGCGACACCATGAAACCCGGCGTACAAACCACTGGGCCACGGAGGTGGTCAAATAAACAACTTCACGGCCTAAATCCAAAAAAAATATTACTAGAAATAATTTCACCCGGACCAGGCAGCAGACGGGACTCGAACCCGCACCCTTCGCTATCCGGCCGAATGCACTGACCATTATGCTACTGCGGCCCTGAAGACCGTGTCGAATTCTCCCTAGCCTTACTTAAGCTGCAAGGCAGCGCCATCTCTTCGCATTGCAGGTAACCCACAAGGTCAAATGAATACCTTTACAAGTATTAAACATTTGAAAGAAGAAATAGAAATTATAGTCACTTTTTTTTTATTTACATTTAAATAACGTGATTTAAACAGCTTGCAGTTACAGGCTTAAAAAATAAAAATATATAAGTTCACGGCCGCCTGATGGTTAGTGGTGGTTACCGTGGCATATGGACGCTTGCAACATGTGGAAATGATAAAATACAATAGGGATGATGACTATTTTTTTTTCTTCCTTTATCAGGTAGATTATCAAAAAGTATTGGACACGTATTTTTTCTTTTTTCACATAACATAAACATTGCAGAGATATATTGATTTGAAAAGTCGCATGACGTCACGTTTGAGTACACTTATAAGGGAAAATTCACTCAAAAGTGACGTCACGAACTCCCAAACTTTGATGCGCTATAACTTTGTCATTTTTTGGTTGATTGCCCAAAGAAAAAATACGTGTCCATTATTTTTTGATCATCTAACTGACGGACTAAATAGAATTTCGTTTACTGTACCCCGTCATCACCCCTATTTGAGAGTAACATACAAATAACTTACGTACTTACTTAAAATAATTATGATAAAGTACAGAACAGAGCAGACTCATCCCCACTGGCAGTACCGCACGAGTATAACGTGAAATAGTCATCGCCTCGCACCTTTTTATTCATCATCATCAGCCTATTAATGTCCCCACTGCTGGGGCACAGGCCTTTCCTATGGATGGAATTGGGAGATTGAGCCATGACCCACCACGCGGGCCCAGTGCGTATTGGCGGGTGCTAACGACTGCAGATGCAGCCGTGACCAACGGCTTAACGTGCCTTCCGAAGCACGGAGTTACTCGAGATAGAAGATTTTTGGTCACCCATCCAATGACCGACCACTGCTAACTTGCTCAACTTCAACGATCGCAGCCGAACGCGCTAACCACCCGCGCCATCGAGCTCCTCCCTTTTTATTTATTAATGTAAGGTTATTTATGTACAACCCTATCCTTCTAACATTATTAACGTGAGTACGTCGTACACGCAAAAACGGCTGAACGGATTTGAATGTAGCATTAAAAACTTGTCAGTTCCCGTGGGATTTTTAAAAAAAAGCAAGTAATACCGCACGATACGCGGGCGGAAGCTACGAGTCTACAGCTTTGAGTCTGATGATCCAGGGAGACTTTTAAAACTATCTAATATTAAAATGCGCACTAAAGGATAGTGTCATAATTCTTGTTTTGTGGTTAGCCTTGTAAGTGAGGCTTGGGTGTCCATTTTTGATTCGCTCGCCTGACATAGTATCTTAAGTCACTTTCGACTTCCAAGTCGCATGATACTGATTTTCCATATTTTTGTTAGTTCATCATCAACATCTAGTTCATCTACGTGTTACCCGTTTATACTTACTAAAAAAATATTTATTTTTATTCATCAACATCATCATCAACAGCCTACCCTAGTCCACTGCTGGACATAGGCCTCTCCAATTGCACGCCATTATTTTTTTAATCACGGAAAAATATAAAATCCAGCCATTAGCGCTGTGAAAAATGAACGTATAATTCTCAATAAATGGTTACCTATTTTATCTTAGAACTTTTTTTTTAGAAAAGATCAAAGCGTCGCAACAAATCGTCATCTTATCTGTATATCAAAAAAATTGAGAAAATATCTGTCATAAATTTGACAATAATTTTATTGCCCGGGTTGCAGCGTCCACCATCTCGTTACCAGGCATAGCATTGCATCTGCATGGACACACACACACACACGCATACATACGCGCACACACACACACATACATACATATTTTATTATTTATGTTAGTGAATTATATGAGTTTTATACAATTTTTAAAATTAAATTAAATGTAATAATTACTGACATTTATTAACGCCGTTAATATCTAATGTGTACATAATGAGTTTCTGTAATTGGCCTTAAGATTATATATATATTTTATTGTATTAAATTTCACAATAACTGCTGTAGAAACTTTGTTAAAGATAAATAAATAAATAAACACTCGTTGCGCGTTGGCGATTGGTAGATACCATTCGCCAACGCGCAACGAGTGTTCGCGACCGCTCTGACGTTGAGTGATTCAAAAATACGGAATTTATTAAGTCGAATCAATATAAATCGAGTGTTTGACGTACGGCGAGTGATTCAAAAATAGAGCTCTTGGTCAAGTAGTTAGTAACCCGTGAATGTCTAGTTGTTTACCTTACCTGCTGCTATAATTTTGTTTGAAATATTGCATTATTTATAAGTAATGGTTGTAGTCATGCTTAGAACATTCACGATTGAATGATTCTGAAATCTTTAAAAATCAATGAAACTTAAACAAGCAGATGAAGGTAGGACCTAATTAATGGAACAGCGTTAAATTAAATCGATTATTTTACTAATACTTAAGATTTTTTGATTAGTTAGGGCATTGAAGAATTTCCAATCGAATTGGATTGCCCGGAAATAATGTTTAGCTTACGGAAGACCACATCACTATTGGTGGTATTATTTCTGGTTTCATTACCATCGTCAGACCCAGGTTGGGTTCCGGACACCGTGTTGCGGTTTCGTGTTTTGTCCACTACTTATCTGTAATGCAAAGACCATCTAAAATTGTGAGTTCTCTAAGAGGTAGATAGATAGATAAATTCTTAATTGCACACACATAAAAGAATACAAAAAAAGAAAAAAATAACATCATGTGGGCAAAGGCGGCTTTATGGCTTTAAGCGATCTCTTCCAGACAACCTTTGCTGTAAAGGATAGCTAAACGAAGAGGAAGATGTAGTATGCCAGCAAGATAAAACAAAGAATTATACATATTTGCTTGAACATATAAAGATTATAAATGTGAGGAAGAGTGAACATTTAATGAACGAGTTATCTTATCGTATTTCAGCCACCAAAGGCTTAGTCCAAGTAAGTAAGTTATAATATAGTGAAACAAATCTATTCTCTATAAAATTAAGTAGTTCTAGTCAAAGAAAACCTCATCAAACAAATGTAATTCGTACTTATTCTATTGTCAGAGGTCCCATATGTGCTACAATTTGATAATACCAATGGTAAAACTTCAATTATAAAAAAAACACTTGAATGAACGCCAATTAGACTAAGACCAAATCTATTGTTAGAAACGTCCACGTGCTGAACAGTGCTTTACACTGGTACAATTAGTTGATACCTTAATGTGGAGCAATAAACTTATGCCTAATCTACGCCCATAACAAGTAGCACAATATTATCTAACTGTGTCACATGTACTGTCAACCGCTTATTGCCCGTCTATTAATCGAGTGAGATGATAGGCAATATGACTACGCCAAGAAGACTTAAAGTGCATTGTTACGTTTGTTAGATTGAATGAGGTGGTTTATGGTGTCTCATGTTTTAAGCATGAAGCATAGAATACAATGGGTGGCACTAAATATTTCACAGGGTAAGTGGGTAGTTTTATTTCGTTAAAAAAATATGAACCCCATCGTAACGTACTTACCTATTAAATGCACATTTTACTACCTTCTTTGTAATCGGATATCTGTTAGTTAGCCCCGTAAAAACCTTGTTGTCGCTGTGTTTCTCCGATGCTGCGGTCAAAATATTTCAATGCCGTTGCGGCACAATAATGAGTCTATTGCGTCATCAGATATCTTTTAGCGGCCGTTGGCCGTAGATAGTCGGGTCTCCGTCGTCCACGATGGCGCACGCCGAGGAAACTCTGCTCGAAGTGCTGCGTAGCATCGCCCGCGATCTTAGCTACCAGGAGCCCCAGCTGGACATCCGCGCAGTCACCAGCGGAGGCGCCAACTACACCTCCAAGCTGTACCTAGCAACTATCTCCTCCCCAGGAAAGGAACGCCTCCATTTATTCGCCAAAATTGGATCGTTCAGTGAGAAAATCAGAACACAAGTTAACGTCGACCAGCTCTTCCGCACCGAACACCTCATCTACACCAAACTCGTCAAAATTTGGGACAGCATACAGGAGAAGTATCAAGTGCCCGACGAACACAGATATGTGTTCCCAAAATATTACGGCGGCAACTTGAAGACGGGCTGCGAGACGGTGGTGTTGGAGGATCTGACAGCGGCCGGTTACTCGATTTGCGATAGATTTAAGCCTGCAGACTGGGAACACGCCGCGAAATCAATAGAAGCGCTTGCTAAGTTCCACGCACTATCATTCGTTCTCGATAAAGAAGACCCGGACGAGTACAAAAAAATTACGGAGCAGCTTAAATTTTTAGCACCTGAGGAAGATGAGTCCATGAAAGGTGTGTGGCTGAAGATGGTGGGGGGTGCAGTGCAGTCGGTCGAGGAGGGCCTGAGGGACAGAGTGATAAAGTTTTTTGAGAGCACAGATGGTCGAAAAATGTATTTGGACTACCATATGCCCAGGGGTCGACCAGTGCTAGTGCACGGAGACTACAGACCTAGCAACCTGTTCTTTAGGAGACAGGTGAGTGACAAAACTTACAAGCTTTCTTGTCAAAGACGTAATCATTTATTTTATTCTTTATTTATTAAGGAGATTTGATCGACATACTCGATCATGCCAGCTCCATCTTAGCCAAATCTTATTTACTAAATCAACTTAATACTAGAAATTGCAAAATTGATTTATTTTAGCGGCCTCTGAAGAAGGCTTAGCTGTAAAACCGGCCAAGTGCGTGTCGTACATAGGGGAATGATGCAGTGCACATATACATATATACACATATATATGTATTTGTACACTGCATCATTCCCCTATGCTTTTTTTCAATTTTCTTTATTTAGAGGCTTTTGCCTTATAAAGATATGCCAGCCCCGTCATATCCTAACATTATAAATTACAAAATTAATTTGAAACTACGACGATTCATTGTTGCAAAAAAAATATATATAAGGCTTTTGAATATTTCCGACTGCGGATCTGCCAATATTGTTGCGAATATCCCTACACCGAACACGTTTATATTATGCTTTTGCAATAATGACATTTATAATATAATGACATTATTTAGAGTTTATTTCTGCATTGCATCGAAATACGAAAATTATAGTCGCAATTTTAATTTATTGCAAATTATTACTTTTGGACGGTACAAAGTTCGCCGAGTCAGCTAGTCTTAATATATATAAATCTCGTGTCACAATGTTTGTCCTCAATGGACTCCTAAACCACTGAACCGATTATAATAAAATTCGCACACCATGTGCAGTTCGATCCAACTTGAGAGATAGGATAGTTTAAATCTCAAATTATAGTCGCAATTTTAATTTATTGCAAATTATTACTTTTGGGCGGTACGAAGTTCGCCGAGTCAGCTAGTGTTATTATAAAAGAAGATATACTAAAGTCGATAAGATTGTTCAATCGCGATAAAAAAGATAAGTTCAGTACGGCAAACTTGCAGATTGAGGGCCCTCCCGCACCCATCTTTATATCGGAGAGATTAACCGCGAGAGCTAGAAAACTTTTCGCGATGGCTAGAAAATTTGCATCTACAAATAACTATCGCTTTTGCTGGACTTCTTATGGCAAAATATACCTTCGCAAATCATAAGGCGGTACGCTAATCCGCAACAATTATAAGATATCAAACTCAACTGACTAACTAAATACTAATAATATTATTACTAATATTATAAATGTGGAAGTTTATATATGTTTCTTACTCAATCACATAAAAATATTGAAGGGATTTGGATGAAATTTGGTACGCATATAGTTTATGACCTGGATTGAGACATAGGATCCCTACTTACTTTTCATCCTGGAATAATGTTTGGTTCCTTTGCGATTCTCAAAAATCAAAGTGAACGCAGGCGGAGTCACGGGCGGCCGATGTTAATGGATATCTCATTTTGTTGGAAAGTGACTTCATAAGTAATCTCATATGTTTTAATTTGACGACTTTGTATATAATACAGGGAGAAAAAAACAGCCCTTGCTGAGTTTCTTGCCGGTTCCTCTCAGTACAAGGTCTCCCGCCATAGATTTGCGAACCGATGGCGTAGCTTTTCGACATTCACAAGTGCTTCTAACAGCGTAGACTAATTAAATGATGTTGAATTTAGTTTTTTTTTTGGATTTGGTAAATGAAGAAGATACTTAGGTACTATAAGTTGAACGTGCTTTAATTTGTCAAGTTAAGATAATTCAATTACCTAAATTCTGAACAAGATGTTTAACACTGTTATTGGTGTCGATTCTGAGATGATTCTCTAAACCTAAACTTAAACTTGGCAACAGTGTATCCTTGTTATTCTTTACACAGAATAAAAAGGAGAGACTGAAGTTAAATTTATTTTAAAGTTTAGAGAAAAATGTCGGAATCGATACCATTGAATTTATTTTAGTTATTTTTATGTACAGCAACTTTTGTATTACTTACTGTTTTATATTTATTTATATTTGTACATGACTTAACAACGTAAAATTCACAGATTTCGTGCTCTACACGACTTGAAGTGGCATTGAAAATGAATTTTCCCATTAAAGATTATAGAAATTAAAAATTAAATAACAAACAAAATTCTTTTTTTTTTCAAAATAAAAATTATTTTTTTCCACCACAGCCACCAAAGGCTTAGTCCAAGTAAGTAAATTATAATATAGTGAAACAAATCTATCTATATATATAAAACTCAAAGGTGACTGACTGACATAGTGATCTATCAACGCACAGCCCAAATCACTGGACGGATCGGGCTGAAATTTGGCATGCAGGTAGATTTTATGACGTAGGCATCCGCTAAGATAGGATTTTGATCAATTCTACCCTCAAGGGGATAAAATAGGGAATGAAAGTTTGTATGAAACTTTGTCAATTTTAAACCGATCGAGCTGAGACTTTGCATGCAGGTATAAGAAGAATCATAGATGAATGTCAAGCCTGAGAACAAAAACTGTAGTCTACACTTCAGCTCTACACCGAAGCGAAGCGAGGGCGGGCAGCTAGTTCTCTATAAATTTATCAAGTAGTTGTAGTCAAAGAAAACCTCATCAAGCAAATGTAATTCGTACTTATTCTATTGTCAGAGGTCCCGTGTGTGCTGCAATTTGATAATACCAATGGTAAAACTTTAATTATAAAAAACACTTGAATGAACGCCAATTAGGCTAAGACCAAACCTATTGTTAGAGACGTCCACGTGCTGAACAATGCTTTACACTGGTACAATTACCTTAATGTGGAGCAATAAACTTACGCCTAGACTAGGCCCACAACAACTAGCACAATATCATCTAACTGTGTCACATGTACTGTCAACCACTTATTGTCCGTCCATTAATCGAGTGAGATGGTAGACAATATAACGACGCCAAGAAGACTTAAAGTGCATTGTTACGTTTGTTAGCTTGAATAAGGTGGTTGCAGCACAATAATAAGTCTATGGCGTCATCAGATATCTTTTAGCGTCCGTTGGCCGTAGATAGTCGGGTCTCCGTCGTCCACGATGGCGCACGCCGAGGAAACTCTGCTCGAAATGCTGCGTAGCATCGCCCGCGATCTTAGCTACCAGGAGCCCCAGCTGGACATCCGCGCAGTCACCAGCGGAGGCGCCAACCACTCCTCCAAGCTGTACCTAGCAACTATCTCCTCCCCAGGAAAGGAACGCCTCCATGTATTCGCCAAAATTGGATCGTTCAGTGAGAAAATCAGAAAACAAGTTAACATCGACCAGCTCTTCCGCACCGAACACCTTATCTACACCAAACTCGTCAAAATTTGGGACAGCATACAGGAGAAGTATAAAGTGCCCGACGAACATAGATACGTGTTCCCAAAATATTACGGCGGCAACTTGAAGACGGGCTGCGAGACGGTGGTGTTGGAGGATCTGACGGCGGCCGGTTACTCGATTTGCGACAGATTTAAGCCTGCAGACTGGGAACACGCCGCGAAATCAATAGAAATGCTTGCTAAGTTCCACGCACTATCATTCATTCTCGATAAAGAAGACCCGGACGAGTACAAAAAAATTACGGAGCAGCTTAAATTTTTACCAGCTGAGGAAGATGAGTCCGTGGAACGTGCGTTGCTGAAGATAGTGGGGGATGCAGTGCAGTTGGTCGAGGAGGGCCTGAGGGACAGAGTGATAAAGTTTTTTGAGAGCACAGATGGTCGAAAAATGTTTTTGGACTACCATATGCCCAGGGGTCGACCAGTGCTAGCGCACGGAGACTACAAACCTAGCAACCTGTTCTTTAGGAGACAGGTGAGACACAAAACTTACACTTTCGTTAGTTTGTCAAAAACATAATCATTTATTTTTATTCTTTATTTGTTAAAGAGATTTGATCGACATACTCGATCATGCCAGCTCCATCTTAGCCAAATCTTATTTACTAAATCAACTTAATACTAGAAATAGGCTAGTTGACTCATTTCGAATTGTATTAAATAAATGTTTATCGATTTCACTTCATAAAAGCAGAAGATTGCTGTAGTAATTTAATTTAAAAAAATATTTTGTAGTCTATACTTTTTAAACACTAAAAACGCTGTTCGCCACATCCGCCATGATTGTGATGTCACTTTTAGTAAACAACTAAATGTCATTCGTACATAACTTTAAAACTTGTATTATTAAAACTGATAATAAATGAAGAGACTTAAAATATTGTTCAATGAGTACTTACATCAAAGTGATCTTCGCAAAAATAAATTTTACTATGAGTCGATAAAGTTGCAGGATCACTTTTAGCAAGTACTAACCAGTTATTGCGTAGGTTAATTTTTTTCGGCACTTTAATCCACAACTTTCCTGGAGTCCTTGAAGGATGTGTTTTAACATTCTCGTACAATACAATAATGATAATTACTATATTTTTCGTGGTATCTATTAGAAATCATGTTTTTTTTTATTATAAACTCAGATAAGTTATTTTCTACGTGCTTACGAGTTTTTGTTTACTACCGTCAACGTCATAGCATAGATAATCTATAGACTAAAATGGCCGACAGCGTTTTTGTATGTCCATGAAAAGTCTATTTTAAAATTAAAGATTTGCAGCTTTCTAAGTCTCAAAAAAATACAATACATTTTTTTTCGGTCTAATAGAACATTTATTAACCATTTAAAACCCTTTCCATAAAGGGTCAACTAGCCTATTGCAAAATTGATTTATTTTAGCGGCCTCTGAAGAAGGCTCTGCTTTAAAACCGGCCAATATGTATATGTGCGCTGCCAAGGGCGGATCCAGCTTTGGCGCCAGGGGGGGGGGGGTCATATAGCCAGCTTTGGCGCCAGGGGGGGGGGGTCATATAGCCAGCTTTGGCGCCAGGGGGGGGGGTCATATAGCCAGCTTTGGCGCCAGGGGGGGGTCATATAGTCGTGGTATATTAAATATTGTAAGTACTTAAATAAAATCCCCCCGTGTTTGGTCCATCTCTACCCAGCCCAGGGGGGGGGGGGTCATGACCCCCATGACCCCCCCCCTGGATCCGCCCTTGTGCGCTGCATCATTTTCCTATGCTTTATGCACTGCTGATTATTTAAGAAAAGAGGTTTTACTTTGGATGTGTGGTCTGTGCACACTAATTTTGTATTTTCACGCAGAACATGTTGGTGCAGCCGTCTTTCTTATTTCAGTGGAAGAAGTTTTTTTCCTATTTAGGGAACGACAACCCTTACTTTTCTTTGCCATCGAATTGGGCAAAATTGACCGCAATGAATACTTAATACTCATTCTATCCTTTCGTATATATAACTGTTTTTGTATCCCGTCCGCTGCCTGGTCCGCGTGGATTTTTTTCTAGTTAACTTTTCTTTAGATTTAAACATCTAGCAGTTAAATGCTTAAAAATATATAAAAACGTAACTATAACTGTTTTGTTAGGTTTAATATAAGCAGTATCGGTAGCGGTTCTGTCAAACTCAACTAACTAATATTATAAATGTGGAAGTTTATATATGTTTCTTACTCAATCACACAAAAACTACTGAGGGGATTTGGATGAATTTTGGTACGCATATAGTTTATGACCTGGATTGAGACATAGGATCCCTACCTACTTTTTATCCCGGAATAATGTTTGGTTCCGGACGCGAGACTTCGACTTTGGTTTGATACGCGGAATTCGAAGGGCTTGAAGATTATGTAAAAATACTTTGGAAATATTATTATTGAAAAAAGTTTGTTTTGTAAATACTAGAAAGATTTTTTTCTAGTAAAATTTTCTTTAGATTTGAACATTTAGCAATTAAATGCTTAAAAGAAAATACAAATAAATAATTTTTTTTTATGGTTTTGAAAAAAAATCATTAAACAAAATATGTTTTTTTTTTAATAATCTGTAGTAGGTAGAAAATTTTCAATGCTTTTTTTTTAATAAAATATAGAACAGCATTTGATGAGTTAAAAAAATATCGCTTATCCAAACTGCTACATGTGAAAAACCATACACGTCATTTAACTCCGAAGCTTAATCGTCCTATGTTTACAGTGACATTTTAATTATACTAATTTAGTTAACTACGTGATTCTGTCTATCATCTTCCGTTGGCCTCGTTGCCCCGATACTTACAGCATACCGATGTTATTATAATGGCATATCATTATGTGCACAGTACATCTCGTTTACATTACTTACTTAGATACTACTGTGACAAATTATAGAGATCCAAGGTCGCACAGTCAAAGGTTTTTTATTCATGCAATAATCAAAACAATTACTACTCTAAAACCGATTGTCCATCAAAGAAATACCGAGTAGCGACATATAAATTTACTATTGCCACTCGTTCACCGGAAGCCCGTCACGTCAGCTTGATGGATAGATAACACTTTATTGTGCACACCACAATAAATATTACACACTAGGACAAAACTTAAAATTGTGAACAATTGGCGGTCTTATTTATTTTTTTTTCAAAAACAAACGGTCTCTAACAGTAATATTTGCTTAAATTAAATAATGTATGGCTAGACTTATAGTACCATAACTTAAATTAATATTATACTATTTAAGGAAATAGCAAAAAGGTTAGTCGACGTCACAGGAGACCGAAGAGCTGGCAGCTACCTCGGACAAAGAATTAGTCTAGCCATTCAAAGAGGTAACGCTTCCAGTATCTTCGGTTCCTTGCCTAAAGGGACTCCTTTTAATAATATATTTTAGTTATTAATTTTATGTTTTAAGGTTTTTAGTTTTATTGTTCTAGTATTTATATTTTACTTATTTATAGTAATTATGTAATTAGATAGAGACTTATTTGTTTATAGTTAGTGTATTTTATAGTTTTATGATGTGAAATTGTTTTTAGTATTAATTATTAATCTTACTCATATTATGAGTGTGTATGTTGTTGTAAGTCTGTATAATCTTATTTTTATTAGTACCTATTACATCAATAGAGAATAATGTATGAAATAAAAAACAAAGCAGACATTTAATTAATATTATGTTTAAACAGATTGTGTCTATGAGAAACTTCTTAGTTACTGTTTACAAAATGTTTCAAAATCTTTACAATCTACTAGTACAACATCTCGCGAACCAGTTTTCTGTAATTATTATAAGTACTTGAAAAAATGTCAATATTGGTCAGGTTTTTGTTATAAAAATCAAGTGAGTCTTATCGCTATATAGCAACTTCTGCCAGACAACCATAGGATGGAGAGATGAAATTTAATAAAAGAGGGGGTGTGCTAATATAACAAAAAAATGGATGCGTGTAACTTATGTACGCGCGTGAGAAGTTATACTTCTTTAGCATCATTAAAAATATTTTTTAATTGCATGCAAATAATTAATAATCCGCGGCCAACTTCATGCTGTTACTTTTGGGTTACAGTGATGCGCGCGCATCTAAAAATTTCACTCTCATCATTTTTTCATAACGCGCCTAAAGAAGTATAACTTCAATAAAAATAATTACAATAAAAGATTCACGATTAAACATACTCATAAATATCTACTATGCAAGTATACAAATATTAAATGAATGAGTAGAGAGACATACACATACATACATACATACAGCTGGAACAACACAAACAACTACTGTGAAAGGAAAAAATCTTTTATCTTTATCTTTTACTAGCTGACCCGGCGAACTTCGTACCGCCTTAGCGTAGCTTTGATGCACTACTTTATTTTGTATAGCTGACCTATCTTATGTATGAGTACCTATTCATTGTTAGCGCGGTTATGGATGTGTTGTCACAGATTACCACAGATTTTTTGTTTTAAATTGAATTACGTTGACATTCGTTATGTTATATTTTTCAATCTTTCTGAGAGAATTTCTTTATATTTTTTTCCGTAAGAACCTTGCACAGAGTATTACAAAACTACAAAAAAAAAAATCAGCCAAATCGGTCAAGCCGTTTTCATGTTATGTCGTGACAACGGAAAACGGGTTTCATTTTTATATATATAGATTTACATGGTAACAATCCCGTTAATAGTAGCTATAAGATTCATTTTATTTTTGAAAGAGTCTGATAGCGAGATGGTCTTATCAATTTGGTGAAGATCTAATATATATTTTCGAAATGAACAACTGAACTCCTCAAATACGAATAGTACACATATCATGTTTGGTTATTACGAAATATGAAGGAGAGATTGCAGGTCAGATATTCTGTATTTAGTAAGTTGGTGTTGCTCTGGCTTTTAAAAAGTATAATATAATAATAATAATTTCTTTATTTCTTCTCTCACATAACAATACATCATTAACTTAACCTTAATACCTAAATCTAGTTATGTGAGAGACTGGCGTCTGTACTAAGAGACCTGTATTACAGATTACCAGTCTCTCCACCTCCGAACCGTCTATAAGGAACTCAAATAATCTAATATATAAAATTCTCGTGTCGCGGTGTTTGTGGTAAACTCCTCCGAAACGGCTCGACCGATTTTCGTAAAATTTTGTGTGCATATTGGGTAGGTCTGAGAATCGGATGTAATCTATTTTTCATCCCCCTAAATGTTAAGGGTAATCCACCCCTAAATTTTTTTTTCAATTTTAGATATATTTTTTTAATTTTTTTATGATACATCATACAAAAATACATACATCCCTTAATTTTCAACTTTCTACCACCAACCCCTATTATTTTATGGCGGTACGAAGTTCGCTGGGTCAGCTAGTATTAGTATAAAATAATAGGTAACCTGTTACACCAAAAACACCGACTTCATAAAAAGAAAACCACGAAAAATTAAGACTTCATACATTTTCTTTCCTT